ATTCTATTAACAGTAGGACTAAACTACACGCTATGTTAATTACTCCAAAAGTAAACATATGAGGTAGAGTGGTTAAATCCTTCACTGTTGATCAGTTCCTTCTTAAAAAGTTGCCACCCACTAAAAAAAGAAAGGTAATCTTAATTAGCGTCAATTGAGACTTTGAGAGAGGATTCATGAAGGATGTAATTGGAGAAAAAAAGGATTAAGCTTTGCTCTCAGCATGTGCAGGGCCCTACACTCAGAAAATGAAAAGTAGGAGAGAAATGCATGATTAACATAACACCGCAGGCCACTTCTAGCTTCAGATTCACATAAAATCAAGATGTAGTGTAGATATTTCAAAGGCAGCAGAAAACACTTAAAGCTACTTTTTAAATTAAGGCATGGCAACGTTCAAGGCTGCTGCTGACCTGTAAGGCACCTTTGTCGCTGCACAGAAGAAGACTCGGCACAGCTTGTATTTGTTAGGCTGATCTTCCTGGAACTGCAACAACACGCACATTGAAAGATGTTAGTGGTGCTGATCGTTTCAGATTGCGCAATATGTACGGTTTCTCTGAATCCATATACAGCAGTCATTTCAGAAGAAGTGAAATCTGATGTAAGCGAGCGCAGGCGGTTGGCATTCAGAGTGGAGAACTGATTATTAAAACTTAATTTGGCGCTCCCTGTGTCATAGCGCCTTTCTGTAGTGCACAACTTGCACACCTGCTTATGGTGGCCCTGGCAACATAAAATGTTTTAGTAACAGTTAGAAATATGATTAGAATTAATTCAAAAATTACAAGAACTGCTCCTATTTATTTATTTATTTCAGATTTGTCACTGCCCATCTCACTGCAGAGCAGTGATGATTTTTATTTTATCATCACTGATTTCAACGGGGCTTTTCCTCCATAAGCTTATTGCTACCCAAGTGGTAGTTCTGTGATCACTGCTTAAATGAGGGAAAATGGGACAAGGCAAAGAAAAAATATTTCTGACCAGAGCCCCATTCTATGCTCAGAAGCTGGATTATAAGTAGCACCTTAATCAGTCCTTTTACAAAAGGTCAGCACTGCCACGGCTTTGGAAACTCTCCCAGATGTATACATGTGCAGCAAAGCAGAGATTGTCTCTGAAAGATCCAGATCTCCACGTCATTTGAAATTGTTAAACCAGCAACCGAAGAGAAGGAAGAATCCTCTGGATGCATGGGATGGGGGTGAGAGAGAGAAAGTTGGAGTGAAAAGGGGATACAGAGGGAAGGAGGGAGGGAAACAGAGAGCCTATGGATGTAGTTGAATGCATGTGTGGGGAAAAGGGCAAAAGGAGAAAAATCTCCTGCCTTTTTGCCTGCTTTCTCCATGGGGATTTCCTCAGAGGTTCAGACTTGTAAAGAACTAAAACCGATGTGGTTCTCAAATACCACATCAACTCAATCAGCTAGTGACTTTGGCAGCAGCCAACTGCCCTTGTGGAACACATCACTCTATGTGGTTTCATCACCAGTATTTTGCTTTTAGCAATAATCCCTGATTAACCTCACTGACTTCAATGGAAATAAAGTTCATCCACAGGATGCTGCAAACTCATGCCTCTTGATGAGTTATCCTGGGAACTTTCTTGTGTATTTTGTGGGTTATCCAACTACTTTACATCCTGATTCTCAGCAAGCACACCAAGAATCACATGGCTTTCAAACACAGTGCTCTACATAATCTAATGGCAGAATTGCAAGGGTATGAGGAGGACTGAGAAACATGGTCTGATCTGGCATGCGAGCTCTAAGCTTCTAGCTTTGCATAGGAAAATGCCTTAGACCATGTCAGACACATTGTCACATTGTTAAGCCACAACTGCCTCTCTGTGGTCTGAAATGAAAGACATCTAATATCGAGATTTGAACCTAGGATGCGCTGAATACAAATCTTAGGGTCTTTCACTGGCATAGGTTGTTCCACACAACCATATTTAAAATGAAAAGGACTATGCACACAAAAGTGGATTAAGCTCAGGCAAGGGCCAAGTACACTGAGAAGGGGTACACCAGGTCCTGCCTCTGGGCCTGCTAAATCTCAGCTCAGATCCAGCTTCTTGCAGATTTCACCACCAGGTCCAGTGTCTTCCTCTTAGCTATTTCTTTACATTTTGCTTCTGGGAATTTCCAAGAGAAAGCCTGCCAAAAGAGAAGTATTTTCATGGCTGCCTACGTCTCCACCCTGAATGACTCCTTCAGTATGAATAATAAGTTAAGACTTGCATCACAAGCCAGGTGCAGCCAACTGGATCTGTCTTCACATAGCACTGGACCTAGACCATTGCTTCCACCAGTTGCAATCATCAAATGCTCGATTATACAGCAAACAACAATCCAGTAAGATAAGCAGCCACAAGTGACTGGGGAGAAGGAAGCAACTGAGATCAGGCCTGCACAGGGTGTGATCCATGTTGGAACACACCGACCCTGGTACCAATCCTGGTACCAACTCTGGACACCATAATTGTGGTGTCCTTCCATTATGACTGCTATTTAGCGAATAACCAGTGACCCAATCAGGACAGGATTTGGGGCAGAAGTCCAGGTCACACTGACAAGAGGGAGGGGAAAATATGGCAAATATCTGACTTGATATTGAAATAACAAAGTAAATCTTATTACCAACTCTAGAAAAAGAAAACTAGGATCCAACAAGACCTGAGTTTAAAAAGTATCAAGCTGCACCACTGACCCTAATGTGGTTTAGCTTTTTCTCCTTCTTGTGACAGTTCTGAAGCATGTCACTCCACTTTTAAAGTGGAGAATCTGAGATGTGAAGCAATACCATTCAATCTGATGTATGTTGACTCAGTTCCAGAAATTTTAATGGGACTTTCTCATTCCAGATCAGGCTTTTATTGTGCAATTATCATGCCCCATTCACAGAATTCTACAGGATGGGGAAGCGGGTTGAGGGCAACATCGTTCCACTTCTAATCCTCTCACTTCTTCCCCATTATTCTTCTGCTTTTTTTTTTTTTTGCTTAGCAGAAAAACATCCACTAAGAGTGTGGTTCCAGAAGCTGTCAGAAAGTGACCAAAGTATGCTCAGCATCATACTGATTAAATACTCTGAACTCAGACTTAAGATTTCTCAGATATGGTGCTGCTTTAGATTATCATTGCTGCTATTCTTGATAGCCTAACAGAATGCTAGTGGATAGTTTAATAACTTTTTGAAACTGAATGCTAGGACTGGACGTAGAACATTTTCTGTACTTTTATGTAAAACTCTTTGGAAGCATTTTTACTTAAAGCCTTAAAATAAATAATTCTTGTAAGGTCATTAGTGGGAACCATTTAACTGTAACCCACTTTACAAGGAAGTGTTGATACACTTTTATCTGTTGATAGAAAAATGTGTATATAGCACTTACTGCCTTTGATTCTACACTCAGGCTAATTTTGAGGTGACCTCTGTTACATCAACTACCTTTGCAGTGGTCTTTCTTTGCCTGAGAATGACTACCTAATTTTGAACAGATTTTACTATGAATTCTTTTATAACCACTAAGTCCAAATGAGACTCAGTGGTTGTCATTTAGACAACCACTTGTCATTTAGAGCCAAACAATCTTCCTATTTCTGTGGAAAAGGGTGGTGAAATATCCTCATTCAGCTGAAAATGTGGTGCTGGGAATGAATGGTTCAACCAAGACTTCCCCCAAATAGCATCTTCCAGGGCCTGCAAACCCAGAATTCCCAGCTGACACGGCTGAAGGCCACGGTGGCTGGAAAAGGGAGCTGTGTTCTCGGACAGACTTAAATTGGGTGAGGCTTTTATTTATTTATTAACACTTCCCTCCGTATAATTTTCCTGATAAAAACAAGTGAGGGAACACTTACCTTGTACTCTTGTCCCTTGCATTCCTGAAGGTCACACCTTCACGATAAACAAGGGAGAACTTTAGGATCTGACTCACAGCGCAACCGGCAGGATATTTGCATTGCCCAGCTGGGCTATAGGCTACTTGGCGCCTCTGGAGCCAGATAGCAGGCCTCACCCTACTCTCCGCCCAGAGCTGGGATTTGGGGAGAGGATTTGTGGCACAGCAAATCTGCGTGCCACATCTTGGCTGCAAAAATCCAGATGACCACCAGGAGGCCGCCAAGAGGAATTCTTTGCGGCCAGCTAGCGGTCCTGCAGACTTTTGTTGCCCGCCACCGCATGCCCGCTTTCTCTACGAAACGCGCAGCTGCCAGGCAAGGGTGGGAGGAGCAGGGCCCCCCTTTATGCACCTGAAAAACTGCTCGTCTCTGCCTGAAAAAAGGGCCAGGGTGTTCAGCTCGTGCTCTTCTTCCTTGGGGGAGCCTAACCTTCTAGTCCTAACAGGAGGGAGGAAAGGCAGAGAGCGGGGTACAGGCTTTCCTCATTTACTGCGACGGGAGTCCCCCAAAAGAGGTCTGCAAGGGCAGGGAGACCTCTCGGCGGAAACCTCCCGCGACGGAGCACGTCCAACCCGCCTCTTCGCGACAGCCACCCGCCCGGCCAGAGGACGGTTTTCGCCGCAGGCAGGCTGAGTCCCGGAGAAAATCCCACGCAGCTGCCGCCTTCCTTCCCTCTTTCCCTGCCTCCCGATAACGCAC